CAGATCTCGTGTTGCTGATGGCCATGGCAGCTTGCTTGAAAGTCAGGCCAGGTTTCCACAAAGGTCTTGTCTGTAGCCCCAGTTATTTGAGGATGGGAGGAGATCTCAAATATTTATACCTATGAGGGGGCACATGCTAGGACATGTTTTCCTTGGCTCTTTCCCAAGTTCTTAGCTGTTGTTCAGACTCCCTTCTGCATTTCTAGGGGATTTAATGTCCTGTGGGAGGATTGGATGAGTCTGGGTTTGGAGTGGGCTTATTCCTCACCTTGGAAAGGCCAGGGTTTTTTCCCGAGCTGGAGTGGAGCAGACGGTCTGCAGGGAGCAAAGCAGCTGCATCTGGACCAGCTATGGAGCCGCAGGAGGGGAGGCCAGTGATGGGAGCGAAGGGGACTCAACCTCCCACCTCCACCAGCGGCTTCACCTCTGGCTCTGCAGCTGGGGACAGGAACGGGACACCAGAACCTTTTGGGCCAGGGACTGTCTCTTCCCAGGGAAAAGATCCATGATGGAGGCTGCCAGGTCCGGCCTCAGCAGGGAGCTGCTCTGCCGCCGGGGCGCGGGCTCTGGATGACATTGCTGCATAGGAGAAGAAGAAACCCAAAGCCAGGCTGTCCTTAGGAGGGCTTCTCAGGTAGGTCTGGGCACAGGGGTGTCCAGGAGATGCGGCTGGTGGTACCTGTGTGGGGACACGCTGGGTTCGGCCACATGCTCTGCTCTTGTGACTGCTTGGCAAGGCCTCCAGGCTGGTGCAAACGTCGGCGCTGCTGCAGTGATGGCTCGGGGGCTGCCAGGGAGCCCAGCTTGGCAAAGGCAGGGGTGGGGTGTTTATGTGGTATGGGAGAGGGGAACAGGGTTTTTACTCCGTGTTGGGAGGAGGGATGTGTTTACTTCCTATTGGAAAGAAGGGTATGGGAGGGGTGCATTTACTTGGTATTGGAAAGGGAGATGCATTAGTTAACATTAGAAAAGGGGGGACATAATTTTTACCAGAAAGGAATATATATATATATATATATATATATATGTATATATATATACACACACACACACACACGTGGGATTGGAAAAGGAGGACTTATCTGCTTGCTCACTGATCCTGCAGGTTCAAGACAGCCGCTGAGCGTGACTGTGTCTACGTGTGTAGGCATGAAAATGGTGAAATCAAGATGCCTGATTAATGCACGAGCAGTCGAGGTGGGTTAATGCACCACGGCCCCTTCCTGGTGCGTCGGCAGCACACGAGGTTCCCTGTTAACGTTTCACCCGAGTTTGCCTTTAGTCAGACCAGTTCAGCCACTTGAAAACAGCTCCCCTTCATTTTCTCCAAAATGAACTGCCTTTCAAAATGGATTTCTTGAGCAAGAGGTTATTATTTAGTGCTTATTATAATATTCACTTATTATAATATTCACTAAGAACTGACTTCTGCTCCAGCATTATCCCCTGTGCTAATTAGTAGAGAGCAAGTGCCACAAGGGGTAAGACTCCCGGAAGCTTAAGCAGAAGTAGCAGTAGCCTGCAGGGATGAGCTGGTGAGCAGGAGGATTTTCCCTGTGCAGGGACAGAGGAGGTGACAAAATCTCTGTGACCAGTTGTGACCCTTTGAGCCCAGGTTGCTGTGGCGGCCACAGATGTGCGGCGGTGCTATAGTAAAAGCCTGAATCCTTAGGTGTAAAGGTGCATTTAACTCCAAATTTGGGAAATACTGCAAATTTGGCCTTGCAAAGCTCTGCTGCTGCTGGAGATTTGCTGAGGAGGTGATCCTATGGGTATCTGGTACAGCGGTTTCCAGAAGATCCAAACTGTACTGCCGTGGCAGGGCCCTCCCAGCAGATCAGCAGGAATATTTGTGTCATGGGCATCACAGGAAAGCCAGCTTTCCTGTGGGGAAAGCCTTCCCCTCGGGGAAGCCAGGGCAGGGGGGAGCGGGGAGTTGCCTGGTGAGGAAAACGCCTATCAGAGCATTTTCCCAGGAAACGAGAAATTTCCTTGGGAGTCCCAGGAATTTTCCTGACTTTTCCCAGGCAGCTGCTCCAAGTCTTACCTCAAACGTTATTTAAAGACAAGCTGCTTTTCCTGTGGTTTATAGGGGGAAAATAGTTTCAAGGTGTGAAAATGTTTCCTTTTTTACCAGACATTTCAAGACATTTGAAACTTGTCTTTTCCTTTAATGCACTTGTGCAGTGCAGAAAAAGGAAAAAGCCAGTTATCATTTGCTTCCATAAAGCCATTTCCACATGAGGAATCGCAGCCAAGCAGCAAACCAGAGGAGCAGCCCCCAGCAACCGAGCCCTGACCGTGTTTCTTTGCTCAAGGAAATCAAATGCTTTGGCACTAATGTAATCTGAATGTGCATTTTCCATGCCCAATTTATCTGAGCACTCTGAGGAGGGATGGCAGGGCAGGAGGCTGGCAGGGGAAGCAGCTTCCCAAGGATCCTGGTTGGGCGCATGGGGGTGTCCCAGCCTGCTGGTTTCCCTGTACTGGATGTGTGTGTTGTGAAGGAAGTCTCTGTTGGAAAGGATTGAGAGAGACGTGAGGGAGGGAGGTACGGAGTCGTTTCTGCCTCACCACGTGTGGCTGAGGAGGTCTCGGGTGTCTGTGTCGCCGCTGTCCTGTGGGGTCACGTCTCCCACTCAAAAACTGGCACCCAGGCAGCAATCGTGACGAACGGACTGGGTATCTCTGCGTTGTATGAGCTGTCTGGTCAAGAGGAGAGAAATGGGTGAAAACTTCATCAAAAGGGAAAATAACACATTCTAGTGGAATAACTCATCAAAAGGGAAAATATATCATTAGGAGGCAGCAATATGAAACTTTTTGATCTAGCTTTCTGCAAACACAGATGTGTTCTCTCATGTCACGTAATTCCCAAGTAAAAGGAAAATAGTCTCCTCCTCAATAGAAGGACAAAGAAATGTTTTAGCTTAGGAGACATTCACCATCTTTGGGGGAAAACCAAAGATACAGAGCAAAAAGAAACATTTTTCGCTGGTTGAAGTCTTGGGACGATCTCCTGGTGCCCTCTGCCGTCCATGTTCTTCATTCAAAAAAGCACAATTTTGACATTTTGACATGCTTATTTTAAGACATTAAAATGTTGCCATCCTGACCTGATTCTTGCTGCTAGGCTAAATAATTTTGCTTCATTCCTGCCGTTTCAGCTACAATAGCAGCTTGCTGAAGGCAGTTATCTGTGATTTTGTTTAAAGCACACTAGAGAACCTGTAGCTTAGAACATGTGAGGAGAACTCAGCTTATTTCTGAAAATACTTGTATTTGCCTTTAAAATGACAGGAAAAAACTATAGCCTAAAAACATGCTGAAGTGCAACTTTGAGCTGTAAAAGTAAAATTAATTCCTCTATGATGCATCTGCTGAAAACGTTAATTTGCTACTTTCAATTTATGTTACCTGTGTCCCCAAATCTCGTGTCAGGTAGTTTCTCCCAATTCCAAACACTCTCTGCTAATCTGTAATTGATAGTGTAGAAATACACAAGTGAAACTTCCCTTTTCTTTCTTTTCTTATGTGTTTACGTGTTTCCTTTGACTGGAACAATCACTCAGTGCAATTTAGACAGACAGCCTGTGTAAATCATCTTTTCCTAGTCCATGTCTAACGTGCACTGACATTCCTGCTGCAGGAGAGGCCTCCTGGTGCACGGTAGAGCATTGCCAGGGCTCAGTCTCACCAGCAGGATGCAAAGAACAAAGCGAAAGGGAGGAAAACTGCTTTACAGGAAGATGAAACCACAAAACCAGCAGTTTGGACAAGGCTGGGGAATGTCCTCCCCAGGCAAATGCACCTTTTGCAAATGCAAATGCACCCCAGGCAAATGCACCATAAAAAAATATGAAAAACGCTGTTGTGGTTATTTAGAAATATTATATAAATTATATACGCTTGTCTGATCTTGAGAGAACTGGTAATTGTATTTTAGAATGACAAAATATTCAGATGCTTATGTAAGTTTCTGGAGGCTTTACATGACATCCTGCAAATAATTAGTATTGTCAGATTCTCTTTAAAGCTTTTGGATTTGATTTCACCCTATGTGAGTAACATAACATTTACATAGGACAACTTGACCTCCAACAAAATTTTCCTCTCCCTCCACTGAAACCTCCATGGACACATATAGTTCATTACACATTTTATTTAAAATGTTATTTAAAAGTATTTTTTCTAAATCATTTGAATTTCTTAGGTAACCATTTTAAAATGGTTACCTAATGGTTACCTAAACAAAATAGCATTGTTTTCTTTCAGGAAATGGTTTGTTCCTCAATTGCTTAAATGGAATATGGTGGAACTCCTGATGAGGACTTTTGTTACTCTTTGGGAAGGGATTATATTTGGCAACAGCCTTCACACAGTATTTGCCCCCCACTGCCATTAAAGACTCATACTCCTAGAAGTGATTTTATGAACAAAAGGAAGAGAAATCAAGTTAATGAAATCTTAAAAACAGGTGAATTTATGTAGCTGGTGTCTCCAGATGGCTTATGGCAAGTCTCCTTTTTGCTTTACAGGTGTGATTTTGTCCCTATGCCATATATTTGGACTAAATGGTTTTGTCATCAGCCATCATTTAATCTCACTTAGAGAGCCCTAAAAAAGGAAGAAAAGAAAGTTTTCACTGTAATGAATCTCTTGTTGAGCATCCCCATTGGCTAGTAAATGGTTATTTTCCCTGATCATTTTAATGAATGATTGATGCACCAAAAATAAATATCTTAAAAGAATAAATTAAACAAGATGTCTGGCCTTATTAAACTGATTGTATATGAACTCTTCAGCTATTTGGAAAGAATTGAAGGAAAATTTATCATGTTTTTAGTATGGTTTTATTGCAAAGACTCCTAAATTACACAGAATTTCAATATATTTCAAACAACTCTGCCTACTGAAGTACAAATGAGGATTAACACCTAATGGAAAAGAAGTGTGATCTGTACAGGAGATTCAAGGGATCTTTACAGGAGATTCACTGAAAAGATCCACGCTTGCTGTGTAAAACTTGAGTCGAGCACAGACAGAATAAGCTTAATTAAGTGACTTCAAAGAACTCATCAGTCAGTCTTCACAATTTCCACACAGAAAATATCTCATTATACATAAAGAAAATTAGCTATTATTTAGTAGAAAAAGGACCCTAGGCAATCCAAATAAGGCAATATAAGCTAGAAAAGTGATCTAATTGCTTTCTGACTTTATTCTTGCTCAATGAAAACACAATCCTTCTCCTTCCAGAACACCTGTGTTAAGCAGTAATAAACCTTTATATCTCAGAAACTGCTCCAAGGGCTTAAGTTTAATATTGATGTAAACAGATCTGTTTCTCATTAGAGGGCTGAGCAGTGTCTTTTTCTATCTTTCTCCTCTCTATGGTTTCCTGTTTGTTGAACAGGAACCTTAGCCTTTATAGCAGAGCTGCTTACAAAATCAGCATGAAGAGTTTATGTCATCACTGACAAAAGCACAGACTTTGTAATCTCAACTGGTACCAGTCTGGGATCTTGCTTGGACACTTTTTTTTTAACCTTAAAATACACAATGGTATTATTCTGTGTTAAAAGGCAATTTTCTTAAAGTCAGGAAATTACTTTCAGTCAGGTTCTCCAACACAAATTTTATTCCTGATCACCACTTTCCCTACACATTTCCCAGAAAAGCAAGGCTTTTTCCTCTCTATTTCCTAGCTAAGCTGATGCAAATGAACACACTCAACAAAACTCAGTACTGAGATTTCTGTCTTGTCTTTGCAGGCTTAGAGAAGAGACTTCTGGAAAGGCAATACATCTTTATTATTTTAAGTGAGCTTAAATAATAAGCTTGATGGTTTTCACGTTGCCTTTTCTGAATTCGCATTATGCCAACTGATCGCTAATCCGCAACTTTTTGCTTTTCTTTTCAACATCTTTTAGCACATCTTGGAGTTTCTTGGAGTTTTGCGTCAGGAATGTGAAGCTTTCTTTGAAGTTGCTGGTCCCGTGTGCTCTGCAGATGCTCTCAAGTCCTTCAAACCACTGCAAAATCTTTTCCAGTTCTGCCTGCACACGCTTCTGCTCCTCAATTTCGGCGAGAAGCGCCTGCTCGGCGGACGCCTCGGCCCTGTATTGCTGCTGCAGCTGATCGATCTCCTCCTGAAGCGCCTGGAACTGCTCTTTCGTGTAGGGATACTGCTCGTGGACCTTGTCCTCGGGAAGCAGCACGTTCTTGGGCACGTTCAGCACCAGCTGCAGCAGCACCTCTTCCATTTTACTGAAGAGCTGCTCAAAGCGCTCCTTCATGAAGAGGAGAAACTTCTCGGTGCCCTTCCGCACTTGGAGGGGGCTGATTTCGGCGTGGGGGAAGCCCTCCAGCTTCTTCAGGATGACGCCCTCCACCACCAGCATCACCTCGAAGAGGTAGTCCTGGAAGGCGGTGTAGACGCGCAGCATGCACGTCTGGGGCGTGAAGCCGAAGAACTGCGCCTCGTAGGCCATGGGGTTCACCGACATGTTGGTGAAGCCGAGGGGAGAAGAGGGCGGCGGCGCGGCAGGAGGACGACGAGGGCTTCAGGGGGGGGCCGGGCTTGTCGCTGCCGCCGGGGCTGGTCTCTTCCCTCAGCTGCGGGTACCGCGGGGCTATGGAACGGGAGCGAACCGAACCGAACCGGATCGGATTGGACTGGACTGAACCGGATTGGACCGGTCCGGACCGAGCTGCGCGACCGCCCCTCCCCCCCTCACCTCAGGCCGCCTCAGCGCTTCCCGCCTCGTTCGAACCCCGCTGGCTGGCTTCGCCGCCAGCCAATCAGCGAGCAAAGCGGAGCAGCGAGGAGCAACGGCGCCGGCCAATCAGCGAGCGCTCCGTCTTGAGAGGCGGGAAGAGGGAGGAGCGGCGTGCTCTGGCTCGGCCAATGAGAGCGCGGCGCGTTGGCTCCCGCCACGGCCGGCGCCTATTGGTTCCGCGGGGCGGAACGGAGCGCGTGGCGGAAGCGGAAGCGGGGCGGGCGGCGGGGGCGCTAAGATGGCGTACCAGACGTTCCGGCAGGAGTACCTGCAAGTGCCGCCCGTGACGCGGGCCTACACCACGGCCTGCGTCCTCACCACCGCCGCCGTGGTGAGCGCCGCCGCCCGCGGCCGCGGCGGGGCGAGGCGGCGGCCTCCGGGGCGAGGCGGTCGCGCACCGGCCCCTTGAGGGAGCCGGAGAGCCGCGCTGGCTCCCCCGCAGCGCGAGCGGCTCTGCCGGCCTCCCCTCGTTCATTTTCCCCCTTATTCTCTTCTCTTGCAGCAATTAGAGCTCATCACGCCCTTCCAGCTGTATTTCAACCCCGAATTAATATTTAAGCACTTTCAAGTAAGTGTTTTTTTAAGCAGGGGCTGTTCTCGAGAAAGCTGTTGAACTCTGTGTGTGTTTTCAGAACTGCCAGTTATAAATGACTATCGCCTTTTGCATTAAGCTTACAGCTTAATACTAAAGCAGAAATGGAGCTCAGTATATCTTAGTTCAAGTTCTGGGTTCTAACTATAAAGGAGCCTGATTTGGATTACTCATAAACCTTTTCTATTTAGGTAACTAAAAAAGAAAAAGGTTCCATGTTTAAATCCCTTGTGTTTGTTTTATTCTCAGGTATGGAGGTTAATCACAAACTACTTATTTTTTGGACCAGTTGGCTTTAATTTTTTATTTAACATGATCTTTTTGTATCCTTCCTCAAGTTTGTTTCCTCTGCTTGGAGAGCAAAGCTCCAACGTGCAGGCAAGTTGCTGTGGAAAGGTTCAGCGTTGTCTCACTGTGAGGTTACTGGGAGCTTAGTGATACTGGTTTCACTGAAGAGAGCTACTTCAAACTCTCAAGAATTTTGCCATTTATTTTGGTGACATTAAACTTAAGTCTACAAGCCAGGTCTTTCTGGGATTTTCAAGCAGATTGGTCCTGGCACGTGAGACTAATCCAGAGTGTGGCCTCTCTACTGAGAGTAAATGAAGTAAATTGGTATAAAATTTACATGCAATTTCATGCATATTTGAAACAATTTCTGCTTGAGTTTTTATTGAATTCATTTGCTATCCAACTTTCCTGACCTGTGACTTCAGATATCGTTACTGCCGAATGCTTGAAGAAGGCTCTTTTCGAGGTCGGACGGCAGATTTTGTATTTATGTTCCTTTTTGGTGGACTTCTAATGACTGTATCCTTTTTCTTTTCTTAACTGTATTATTAAAGGTAGAGATATTGAAAGAGAAATCAAACTATGTTGTTATGCTCTTTGTTCTTGCATGCTGAGGTACTTTGTGATATGAGGGGTGAGGTAATTTTGCATGTTTTTTGTACCAGTTTTGTCAGACTTTGGGCTGGTCTTTAACCTTTCAGATTTTAGTTATAGGATTATGGAAATTAGATCCTAGGGTAAGATGCTGTTACTTAGGTGATTTTATGCCAACTTATGTTGTAAATAGAAAAGTCACGCTGCAGGTATCCTAAATCCTGCCTTAAGTGTTGGTTTTGTTTGACAGTAGATCTGATTTACTTAAACCTGGGGAGGTAGAAGGAGGAGCTGTATGAAAAACATAACTGATCAACGTGTGAAACTCTTGTGATGTTTAATCTCAAAGCAGTTATTTTAAATGACTCATAACTGTGAACTGTTTTCTTTAACTGGCTGTCCTAGCTTTTTGGCTTATTTGTAAACTTGGTGTTCTTGGGTCAGGCATTCACAATAATGCTTGTGTATGTATGGAGCCGCAGGAATCCCTACGTCCGTATGAACTTTTTTGGTCTTCTCATCTTTCAAGCTCCATTTCTACCTTGGGTGCTGATGGGTTTTTCACTACTTTTGGGGAACTCGATCATTGTGGATCTTCTGGGTAAGAAATTTCAAGAATTGGAAGAATATGCTATTCCTGCCAGTGTTATACATGGGAGGGGGAAAAAACAGCTAAATGCCTCCTATCTGTGGAGCTTACTGTGGCAAATGATAGATCATTTACATGAAGCTTTCCTGATTTCAAAGCATGTTGTATTTTGTGCTATAAGAGGGATAAAAACAGCTACTTTTTTTTTTCTGGGTCATTAACGATCACATTATATGTTAGACTGCTGATACAAAATTATTCACATGTAGTATATTCTTATAGGCTATAATGTCACGTTTAATAATGACAGGTTGTTTTCTCTTTTGTTAATGTCTTGCAGTGTACGTTACACATTTCTTCTGATACCACCTTGCTTCATTTTTTTTCATATTTTTCTTTTCCATTGTATTTTCTGTGAAGGGAAGCAAGATGTGCTTTTTTTTCTGAGAACTCTAGTGGAGAACTTGTAAGTTATAAAGGAGAAGTATTGAAAAATCACTGTTTGACATTTCTTTATGTACTAGGCATTGCAGTTGGGCATATATATTTTTTCCTAGAAGATGTCTTTCCCAATCAACCTGGTGGTGGGAGGCTTCTGAGAACACCATCTGTCCTGTAAGTGCTGGTTTCTGATTTGGAGTGGATTTTAAAATAGGCTCAAATGGAAAACTGTTTATAACTCACTGAAATCAACCTCTGATAAGAGCATTGTATCTGCTCAAATAGTTAAGTCATTTTGCCTGTCTATGCTCAGAAGGCTGCTTACGGCTCTTGTCTGGGTCTGTTGTCTTAATCTTTTCCCAGGTGCTTTCACTTTCTTGGTGTAAGCTGTGATCCTGTAATACTTCTCGTACTTTCTGTTTTTCACTTTCTGCAAACTTTTCTGGAGTGTCCCATTGCTCTTGTGGAGGAAATCAGTCCCTTCTAAGAACTGTCTTGTTAAGTTATCCAGGTGTCTCCTAGCTGGAGTACACGTGTGACTCGGGTGTAGATCACTGATGCATTCGCAGGTCGTTCTGAGGGGGACCCTCTGTGTATGAAGAATTTGAGCAGCCTTGTTATTCCTGTGAAATATTTATTAAACAATAACAGCCTTTTGTGTTTTCCAGGAAAGCAATATTTGATACACCAGAAGATGATCCTAACTACAATCCTTTGCCAGAAGAGCGTCCAGGAGGATTTGCCTGGGGAGAGGGTCAGCGCCTTGGAGGCTAATATGTGGCTGTGCCAAAACCCAGCAATAGCTGGGAAAGACTTAACTGAAGTACCATATTGGGGATTTTCTTATTTCCCCATCAAGGACACTTTTGGAAAGCTGTATAGTTCTGAATACAAGCACTTTATGAAATGGTGGTCTAATCCAAGAAGCTTCCAAGCTACCAGTGCCTTCTCTGGTAAGGGAATGTTTGCACTGGTAAGGAAAATATCGATCTAATGGAGCCAAAAAACTAAAACTGGAAACCATTTCCTGTCAATCTTGGTTAATAAGACCATGAGTACTTCTTTAAAGTGATTTCTAAAGCTTTTTATTTCCCTCCTGCCCTTCCCCCCCAAGTTATTTCATACAGGAAACTATATGGGAAACTTTACAGGGGACAGAATAAAACTTTTTGGTTTAAAATCTTTTTTTATTCTTAGATAAATGAGTTTACAACATAGTTGAAAATGTAAATCCCTCTTTCAGTGGCACAAGTTTTTAGTCTGAACTACTTGTGTCTCGAGTCCCAGTCGAATTGTAAGAAATACAATGTTCAGCATAATGCAGGCTTTTTATTTTGCCAGTTTTGTATGGTTTTTGGAACGTGCCTTGGTGTGAATAGGCTTGCAGGCTGAGACTAAGTTTTGATAGGCTATTACATGACAAGTCCATGTTCAGATGACAAGGTTTGAGTCTTGCTATAACAGGTTGTTTTACAAAATCCAACCCTCCACCCACCCCAACGCACCCAATCCTAGAAGTCATTAAATTATTTGGAGTATTAGGGAAGAGCTTGTCTGGAGTTTGAACTGCTCAGTACGTCAGGTAATGAGTTGAATAAAATGTCGTGTGGATCCTTTTTGGTTACCTTCTTGTGTAATCTTAGTCTTGGGGCAGCTGGTGGAGGAAAAATGCAGAGACTTGGGGAGAAGAAAAGTCCCTGAAGAGGCAGCTTTAGTGCCATGATCTCCCACACTTCTCTCCCACAGCTGTTAGGAAAAAAGGACTCTGTGCTCAATTTTTGCTCTGTATATGAAGCTTGTTGGAGTACTGAGTGGCAGGGACATCTGTCCAGAAAGAATGAGTGATGCTGAGTGGGGTTTAGCTTCAAGTTAGATTAATACAAATTTCTGTAAGGGGAGCTCTGTAAACAGTTGTGAATATAGTTCAGCTGGTAAAGCTGAATCACTCTGTGAACTCTATAGATGACACCAAGTATCTCTACTACATCATAACAGAAAGGCAGTAAGGTACTGTCTCACTCATTTCAGCAGTAAGATATTTCTGAGAAAAATCTTACTTTCAATTTTAGGAGGGCTGGGTTTACGTATATCGGAGATTAGTCTTGTTGTCTAGTCTCAGACTTTGCTTTTCTTGTTCTTAAATTTACTATAGCTTTGTAATCTAGGAGAGACTTTGCGTTTCTTGTTCTTAAATTCACTACAGGTTTGTAATCTAGTAGATAGATTAATATTTCAGGAGCATGCATGGTTCCCAAGCAGTGTATTGGAAGTGGTAAACAAATTTAGTGCAGTCATTTATATCTGGGCCTTCCTTTTTAAGCGTTATGAAAAACTCAATATTTTCTTTTTCAAAACACCTTTTAAATCTGTTTTCTAGGAGTTCTGGAAATGTTGTAGGCAATTCTGCTTAATGATTCCTTTTTGAGGCAGGAAATTGATTAAAAGATGTTTTTAGTTCTGTATTTAACAGTCTCTCAGCGGTTTCCTGGTGGGATGTTAGTGAGTGGGGCTGCAACCAAAGTTCAGCCATCTGGCTAGGATAAAATCTACTGTAAATGCAAAGCCCTGCTATGAAGTGGGCAATGTGTCTACCTGCGAAAGACCTGCTGCTCTTAGCAAGTGATATATTGATGAGATTGCTTGTCCCTTCTTGATTTTCCAAAATTATTTTCCTTGCACACTTCCTGCCACACTTGTGTGTTTTTACGCCTGTGCCACACCTGTGTTTTAATAGGCCTTGAAAGCCATTTTTGAGCATTCTGTCCTTCAAAGAGTGAGTAGTTTTGTTGGACATGGCTACAGCCTTGCCCAGGTAAGTAGAGGAAACGTCTGTAGACCATTTCTAGAATTAGATTTGCATGTGAGGTATCAACTTTGAACAGTGTGCATTGGTGCTCTTCCAATTTCCTGCACTTCTTTTAGTGACTTAACTGTGAGAAGTTACAGTTTATAAGTCTAAATCGGAGGAGTGTGATGTAATCATTAACAAATTGATGATTATCTAAGTTTTTCTCATGAAAGAATGAAACATCCTGTGAATAAATGTTTCCTAATCTAGGACGCAAGGAGGAAACCCTAATCCTCTCTTGTACGGGGGAAATTATATTCTCAACCCCAAACACACACGCTAAGGGTTTAGTGATTTTTCCAAACTGTCTGATGAATATTATGAAATTCCCAAGGAACAAAGTGGAAGGCAACTTGGCAGCACTGTTGAATACTTCTCACTAGAATTCCACAGAGGACTTTCACACAAGAATTTAACAGGTGCCTTTTACACAAGCAGCAGGTAACTGCTCCCTCAGAATTAAGCCCTAAAGCTCCAAAGTGGGGGACCAGGTGCCCAGCCAAGGCAGGGACACTGCTCATGGACCAGCTGTCTTTGTGAGGCAGATTTGGCTAAAAACAGGCTTGACTAGGCTGCGAAAACTCAGCCCAGCGGCTCTGGAAGACAATTTCAGTGGTTTAATTAAACCCTGCAGCTACTTATGAATCTGTATTATATATATTTTTATATATATATAAAATCATATTTAAATATCATAAAATCCTGCGGTTGGAAGGAACCTTTGGAGATTATCTAGTCCACCCTGCTCGTGCAGGGTCACCAAGAGCACCTGGCACATGGCTGTGTCCAGGCAGCTTTGGAAGATCTCCAGAGGTTCCATAACCGTGGCAACCTGTTAAATGAATATTGATGAATATTTATCATCATTATTCATAGCCATTCATTATTAATGATGAATATTATATTCATTTTATAAATATATATACGAATATATATTTAAAGTAAATGCGAATTATTTGCTACCCTCTCTAATTAAATAGCTGTAGTCATGTAGTTTGCTGGCTGCTTGTAGGGGCGGCCTCAGCGCAGGGAACTACATCTCCCACAGTGCTCCGCGCTGCGGGTCACGCGGGCGGCGGTGGCGTCACGGCCGCGCCGCGCGGGTGCCGGTGTCGCGCGGGTGCCGGTGTC